ATAAGAACTTAGAGACCGGCAGGAACTTGGCCAAGGTCACACAGCAAGCAGGAACAGGACCCAGTGCACCCTGACGCCGAGCCCACACCTCCATCCTCCGCTACCTGTAGCCAGCCCTCCTGGGGTCTGCCCAGACAGCTCTGGGAATGGGGCAAACAGAAGAACCACCCCTCCTCATCCCAGGCCCTGGTCCACCTCCCAGGGACCTCAGAGCCTTCCTCTCTGTGCCTCTCTGAAGGGGTTACGGGGAGGTTTGGAGGGCAAAAGAGCCTTCCTCAAGGCCCTGCTGTGCTCTCTAGACTGGACGTGTGGACAAGAACGTGCCTACTGTCTGTGGCCACACAGCCCCCGTGCTGGACATTGCCTGGTGCCCACACAATGACAATGTCATCGCCAGTGGCTCCGAGGACTGCACAGTCATGGTGAGTGGTCGTGGAGACCCAGGGGCTGGGCTCCAGGAGGGGATCTGACATTTGGAGCCAAGGCCTCCAGCTTTGAGGATAGGAAAGCTGAGCCCCAAAGACTCACGAGTCCCTTCCCTGCAGGTGTGGGAGATCCCTGACGGGGGCTTGACGCTGCCCCTACGGGAGCCCGTTGTCACCCTCGAGGGCCACACCAAGCGTGTGGGCATCGTGACCTGGCACCCCACAGCTCAGAATGTGCTGCTCAGTGCAGGTGCCGTGGCGGGCTGGTGGGATGAGGCTGGTGGCCTGGTCAGGTGAGGGTGGGAGGTTCATGGGCTCTGACATTGGGGGGGATTGCCCAGGCTGTGACAACGTGATTCTGGTGTGGGACGTGGGCACTGGGGCGGCTGTGCTGACGCTGGGCCCGGACATGCACCCGGACACAATCTACAGCGTGGACTGGAGCCATGACGGTGGCCTCATCTGCACCTCCTGCCGTGACAAGCGTGTGCGCATCATCGAGCCCCGCAAAGGCACTGTGATAGCTGTGAGTGGCCAGGAACCCTGACTCCTGACTGTGGGACCTTTACCTTCCTACCCACTACCAACCAAGCCCCTGGCTACCGCCCTCCCTTGCCCCCACCTGAGATCTGGCCCCTTTGGGTGGGGGTGATGGTGCCTGACCTACCACCTCCCTTTTCCTGCCAGGAGAAGGATCGTCCCCATGAGGGAACCCGGCCGGTGCGTGCAGTATTTGTATCAGAGGGAAAGATCCTGACCACAGGCTTCAGCCGCATGAGCGAGCGGCAGGTGGCGCTGTGGGACACGGTGAGTGCCAAGACAGGAAGCAGAGGGCTGCCAGGAGGGTGAGCCCGGGGCTGGGGATCAAGACTCTTAGTCCCTGCTCTGCCGCCTGCCTCGGCTCAGTTTACCACCACGAGATGGGGGTTTCCACCGGTTGGTCTCTGAGGGCCGTCCCCGGGTGGATGGTGAAGTGAGGGCCACTGTCCCGTGCAGATGACCCCAGGGCCTGACATGGCACAGCTCATTGTTACCTTCTCCCTGTGTCTACAGAAGCACCTGGAGGAGCCGCTGTCCCTGCAGGAGCTGGACACGAGCAGTGGCGTCCTGCTGCCCTTCTTTGACCCCGACACCAACATTGTCTACCTCTGTGGCAAGGTGGTCCCGTCAGGCAGGGGATGGGGGAGGGGTGGGCAGGAGAGGCTTGGAAAGGACCACGGCTGGAGGCACCTTTTGGTGCTAATCCTCCCTTTGGACCTCCTACCTGCAGGGCGACAGCTCTATCCGGTACTTTGAGATCACTTCCGAGGCCCCGTTCTTGCACTTTCTCTCCATGTTCAGCTCCAAGGAGTCCCAGCGTGGCATGGGCTACATGCCCAAACGTGGCCTGGAGGTGAACAAGTGTGAGATTGCCAGGTGACTGATCCCTGACCCTGACCTGAGCATGCTCCGTGGGCAGTGTCGACCCCATGCTAACCTTCAGTCCCAGCCCAAGCACGCTGTGGGCTCCGCTCACTTTCCTGTTTCCACAGGTTCTACAAGCTGCACGAGCGGAGGTGTGAGCCCATTGCCATGACCGTGCCTAGAAAGGTGATGCTCCCATGTCCCTTCCTGGCACTGGGCTGGGCACTGGCCTCATGAAATTGCAGGGTGGCGTTGGGGCCTGAGCACTCTCTTAACTAGCCTTGTCCTTGCCCACAGTCAGACCTGTTCCAGGAAGATCTGTATCCGCCTACTGCAGGGCCTGACCCTGCGCTCACAGCTGAGGAGTGGCTCGGGGGTCGGGATGCTGGGCCCCTCCTCATTTCCCTCAAGGATGGCTATGTACCCCCAAAGAGTCGGGAGCTGAGGGTCAACCGGGGCCTGGACACTGGGCGCAGGAGGGCAACGACGGATACCAGTGGCACTCCCAGCTCGGTGAGAGGCAGATGCGGAACTGGGGAATCAGGATGGGGAAATGGAGCAGGGCAGGGGCTGCTATTGATCTGGTTAGTGCCCCATCGGAGGGAGGCTGGCTTTTGGGGCAGCCCAAACTCACCACGTTGGGGATCCTTTTGGGGCTCGGGGTGGATAATCCTGAGGCCTCAGAAAACAGGTTTCAGGCTGACAAGCCTGCAGCTCCCCTGCAGCAACTGGCTGAGACAGACGAGCCTAAGCCCAGGGGCTCTCGGGGGCGGCTCAGCAGATGCCAGGATAAGTGGAGCTAGGGAGGAGCTGGGCCTAACGCAGTACTGGGTTCCCCCAGGACGCCGTGTCCCGGCTGGAGGAGGAGATGAGGAAGCTCCAGGCCACAGTGCAGGAGCTACAGAAGCGCTTGGATAGATTGGAGGAGACAGTCCAGACCAAGTAGAGGAGTCCAGGGCCTTCAGAAGGACCAAGGCCATCCACCTCTCTCCCTTCCATTCACACCTTCGTTCTTCAAGCCACAATGGCAGATAAGAAAAAATAATAATAAAATGGCTTTATTTTCTGGTACCAGACTCTGAAGACTGGTTACCTGGGCACTAAGGCTGTTAACCTGCCCTGCCCTGAGCTTCCTCCTCAGTAGTCCTAATTGGACTGTGCCCATTCACAGGAATAGGTCCTTGATTGGTGAGAACCATTCATGCTGATGTGGGTCTGGGGCCTGTTCTCTGTCTCCAAGCTCCTTCTCAGAGGTAGGGGGTTCGAGCTATTCAGGGCCCTAGTCTGGGGCCTCAATAATTCCCGTATTTATCCAAAATCTGCCTCTCCTAGTCAACAAAAAGATGAGGTTGCATGCAACTGTACTGATACTGGTGCTAATGAGAAAATGAACCAAGTAGCACTTATTTGGTAGCCATTTTTCAAACCCCAGGCCCAAAGAATAAAAATAGTAAGGGGACTTTTTGTAAGAAAGAAACTTAGAATCAAAGCAAAGCTCAGCCTCATTTATAGGCGGGGAAACTGAGACACAGAGCAGGAGAGGGACTTGCTGAAGGGCATATCTGGGGTCATGATCTAAGTTTCATGGCCTTGGAGTTCAGAGCCTTTCCCTGCATGGTGCTCCTGCCTCTCGAGCCCTCACTGTGGGTTCCACTGGGGCTTGGCCTCTGTGGGAGGACTAGAGGAAATAGATACATCAGCCCTATCAACAGGGTGCTTGGGGGTAGATTTCTGATGCCCTACTCTTAGTGGGTGACCCCTGTTCTGGGACAGCACAGAGCTGTTAGGGATGGGTGTCCTGGCCATAGCAGGGCTTGGTTTAGAACATGTAGGGACCATACGGACCAAGGGCCCTGTTCCCAGTTCCCTTCTCTTCAACATGTCACAGAAAACTAACTGGGCAGCAAATAGAGAACTGAATGAGGCAAACATACAAACATCTTCGACTGCCTATTTGGGTCTTACCCTCTATGTAAGCTGTGTGACTTTGGACAAGTCACTTGTCTAAAGGGTCTGCTTCTCACCTATAAAACAGGAAGAGATACCATTGCAGCACTGTGAATGCAATGGTGGATGCAAATGGCCCCCAGCAGGCGTATGGTAAAAAGAAAAGTCAGAAAAACTAGGGTCTGGACTTCTGAAGAGGTGATGTCCCTTCTTTCCTGCCAATGGTGATGATGGATCCTTGTGGGACATCAGTAACTAGGTCTCCTCTTAGCCCAGGGGAACTAAAGAGAGTTCAGGAAATGAACCCTGGAACCCAGAAGGATTAAACGTCATCACCATGAATCCCAGGTTTACCAGCCCAATTCTCCCTCTGATGAGAATGAGAAGGAAGTGGAGATAATTTAGGGGCTGAGAAACTGGCCTTGAAAACATAAAGGAACAGAATACATAGAATGGTTGAAACCTACAATTTCTTACTTCCGAAGAGTGTTGATCCCACTTGAGTCACTTACTGTCCCTCCTCGGTCTCAGAAACCTCATTTGTGCAAGGCCCTACCAACCTTGGTATCTATGGTTAAGACTGATACCGGGGACCTTAACTATCTGAATTATTCTTCTACTTTTAACCCTATCTTCACTCTCTACCCACATCCCTGGGGACTGCTGTGGCCACATCAGGGTTATAGGGTCACTGGATCTCTTCCAGTGGGTCAGAAAACATCAGCATTCCAGGTGTTGGGGAGCCCCTGCTGGGGTACCATGTCTGCCATGTCCCCTGAGGCCTGTTAAGGGCTGGGGAAACCTGCAGGGACCATGGAATTCTCTGTCATACCTTTGATATTAGGGTGGTGGGAGACAGAAATCTTTGTTAAACTGGCCAGGGCCTTGAAATCCCGAGCAATTTCTCATTTATGCATCTTGAGAGTTGAGAGAAAGCAGGAACTCCAGACAAGGGTCAATGAATGGGTTGGGTGATGGCAGTACTGACCCCTACGGATACACTGGGAATTATAGAAAGCAGGCCTGCAAAGCCAGCCTTGGAAGGGACTTTAAGAATAAAACCTTCATTTTATAAGAAGGGACGAAGATATCAAGACAGGGAGACAGATTTGCCCAAGGTAAAACAGGGGACAGCGGCAGAGCAGGGAGAAGCCAGGCCCTAGGCTCCCGGGCTCATCGCCCCCCTCCCCACACCAACACACACACACCACTGACACATTAGCTGGTCTTGATTGACAGTTTAATGGCTGTGCAGGTCCCAGCCCCTCATTTCTGCCGTTCACGGGTCCACTGCTCTGGGGTCAGCGTCTTCTGCTCAAAGGCATGGATGTGCGGGAGTTCCTCTGCTAAGCACGCATTCACAAGCCTGGGACGAGAAATGGGGTTAGGTAACAGCAGGCCTGAGCCTGCGTCTCAGTACAGAGCTGGGGTCACCCGGGAGACTGAAAGTATCCCCGAGATCGTAGTTCCTGAAACCCGGAAACACGCGGGGCGAGGGCCGCAGTCGCAATCCTCGAAGCGGGGGCCACAAAGGTGGAACCCTCAGGGTCGCGGTTCCCGGTGCTGGGGCCGCGTTGGCGGGGATGGGGGAGTAGGGTGGAGGCAGAGGCTGGGGTTATGATCCCGGAGCTGGGACCGCGCTAGACGAGGTGTTCCCTAGGCCTCACCGGTGTCTCTGTAGCAGCGGCTTCCCCTCGAACTTCGAGGACACTACCAGGACTCGGAAGCTGGACGCGCAACGGTTGAGAGTCGTGTCTTCCACCTCCTGCGGGGCAGAATTAGTATGGATGGTGCTGAATCCGCCCACCAGGAGCTCTCTTCCCTTCGTCGGGCGGGCCCGGGCAGCTGAACTCACCACGTGCTCAGCTTCCAGCTCCCGCTGTAGTTTCTCCCGGAGGCACTCGACGCTCAGTTCCATTGCGGCAGCCCACAGTGGGCGGCAGCCCAGGGGGACCCCACCCCAGCCCGTACCCCTGCCACACTGCTTCCGCCCTTACTGGCGCCACTTCCGCTGAGGCACCTACTTCCGCCCTTACTACGGCGTCTGTAAAAGAAGCACTTCCGCCCTCACGCAAGCCCAGCTTTTTTAAACAGTAATGGATTTCCGCGCTTACCATCAGCTAGCCAATCAGAGCCTGCATGAGGCTGGACTCGGCGGAAGCGAACGCTAACTGGAGCTCCCTATCTCACGGCTGCTTGGGTCGTATGGACCGGTTTGGATATTCTAGCTCCAGCGAGGAGAGAGTGCATGAACATGAATTGCTGTGGCCTCTTGTGTGCCTCAGGATCGTCCCAAAGCACGTTTTCTGAGACGAGCATCTTGCAGTCTTAGCAACCCGGGCATCCGCAGGGTCAAAGGCCACAGCGTCAGCCTCCAGGGGCGGCCACTAACCCACAAGTCCCGATGGGCCCAGCGGAGGGCACGGCGAGGCCAGGGCGCTTCTTCGGTGTCTACTTGCTCTACTGTCTGAACCCTCGGCACCGGGGCCGCGTCTACGTAGGGTTCACCGTAAATCCTGCTCGCAGAGTTCAACAGCACAACGGGGGCCGCAAAAAAGGCGGGGCCTGGCGGACGAGTGGGCGAGGGCCCTGGTAAGAGTGGGCGGTCACTACGTCAAGGTTGGGGGCTTGATGGGAGGAGGCGGAGCCTATGGCAGTGGCCGGGGTCGGTGTGGGGTCCGATAAACTGGCTGGGCTTAGTGATGTGGGCGGGGACTTCGGCAGGAGAGGATCCTTTCTCGGGGAGGTGGAGCCATGTGAAACTCGGTGTGGGGCTCAGACGGGATTAAGCAGTGAGAGGTCTGAGGATCAAGGCTGGGGTGAGGCGACCCGGTGCGTGGTGAACAAGGCTGAGGTGGGAACTGAGCCTGGAAGGGCAAGAACTGAGGAAGCAGTTCGGTAGCTGTGGCTGGAGGCGGGGCCTAGGGTGGCAGGTGCGAAGGGACGGCCCTCCACGAAGGGGGCGGGACCTCGTGGGCGGGGTCCGAGGCCCGCGTGAGGGCTCCCCTCGGATAGGACGCGCCACGGCCAGGGATTCGTCTTGACACTGGGTAGCGGGACTCACAAGCTGCGCCCTCGTTCTCCGCCCCAGGGAGATGGTGCTCATCGTGCACGGCTTCCCGTGCGCCGTGGCCGCCCTTCGGGTAAGAGAGAAGGCAGGGGTAGCGGGCGAGCGGGGTGGGCTGCGCCTGACCCTAACGCGCCGGTGCTCTCCTGCCGCAGTTCGAGTGGGCCTGGCAGCACCCGCACGCCTCCCGCCGCCTGGCGCACGTAGGGCGGCGCGCGCGCGGCGAGGCGTCCTTCGCGTTCCATCTACGCGTGCTGGCGCACATGCTACGCGCGCCGCCCTGGGCGCGCCTCCCGCTCACGCTGCGCTGGCTTCGCCCCGACTTCCGCCAGGATCTTTGCCCGCTTCCACCTCCTCACGTGCCGCTGGCCTTCGGGCCGCCTCCACCGCGAGCCAGGAGGCGTGGAGCGGTTCCCAGTGCCGACCGGGAGCGGGACCGGGTCGCCGAGGCCCGCTGCACTTTGTGCGCCTGCGCTCTCCAGGTGAGAGCCGCCCCAGGTCTGGGGTCTAGGGTTCAGACGACTTAGGATCAAGCTGTTCATTGAGGAACCGGGCCACTCACACCTTTGGCCGCGGTGCTGCCATCTCTAAACTGGTAATGATAATACTTGCGGCCATTCCTCGACACACTAGAACCCCCTGGGTCGGGATCTTTGCTCTTTCCATTTAACTGGAAGGTCTCTTGCCTAGATCCTCCGTTTTGATAACGTGCCACCTTCTTGGTGAGGTGTTCCCAAGCGCTCCCTCTAAACGTGTAACTTTCTTATGCGCTTCCCTGATGAATGTGTCAAGGCATCATTCTTTTTTATGGTCGAATAATACTCTGTTCTATGGATATATCACATTTTGCTTATCCATTCGTCAGTTGATGTATTTCCTGCCTCTTTTACCTTAATACTTTTTATCTGACATACTGTGTTTTTTCTGATTGTCAGTCTCTCCCACCCCCATGAGCGCAGTTTTTGTTCACTTCTAGGACAGTGTCGATGTGCACAGCAGGTGGTTGGTTGATGTTTATTGAATATGTGAGCCGAAACGAAGGTTCTGGCTTTTATTAAACAATGAAAGAAATATATTGTACTTGCTGTTGAGAGTCACGTGACCTGCTTGAGCTCGTTTAGCCTGTTCTGAGGAACTGCAATGGCCAGACTCTTACATAATCACTGCTAACATTCAGAGGAAGCTGGCTAGTTTAGTCAATGTGGGCAAGTATTTTAACCCCTGTGCCTCAGTTTTCTCATCTGTAAGATGCAGGTAATAGTAGTACCAGCGTCATAGAGTGGTTTTATGTAAAGCCCTTGGAACAGTGCCTAGTCTCTAAAAACAGTTTATGAATATTAGCTGCATCATTACTTTGTCTTCTCTCTCACCTGCCTGTCATCTCTGACAGGATGAAGAAGGCCCTCTGTGTTGCCCCCATCCTGGCTGCCCTCTAAGGGCCCACGTGATATGCCTCGCAGAGGAATTCCTTCAAGAGGAGCCAGGGCAACTTTTGCCCCTAGAGGGCCAATGCCCTGGGTGAGTCCAACAACCCTACCCCAGCCCAGTCTAGCTCTGGCAAGAGGGTGCTCAGCTCCCCAAGACCAGGCCCAGGCCAGCTGAGTCCTTATCTTGGCACCCAGAGCCTGGCCTGGAGGAGGCTTGTGATGCCCAACTCTGCATTTCCTTGGTAGCTGTAAGAACTCACTGCTGTGGGGAGACCTGATCTGGCTGCGCCAGACAGGAACTGAGGAGGATGAGGAAGACTCGGAATTAGAAGAGGTGAGAGGTGGCTCTGGCCCCAGCCTCCTTTCTCCCGCCCCATCCTCTAGGCTGCCTCTGACCAGCTCTCTTGTCATCACAGGAACACTGGACCGACATGCTGGAGAACTGACCCCAGTGCCCCTGAACCCCCACTTCTTTTTTGTGCCACTGTTTTTTACTTGTGTACAATAAAAAGCCTGAGTTAAGGGTACCGTCTGGTTTTTGCAGGGGGGTGGGGAGAGAAGGAGGCGGAGGCTCTGCCAGCCAAGCATCACTGGGGCTGGGTGGGGAAGAGAGGAGAGGGGGGATGGGTTACGGCCCACATGTGACCAGCCTTTCTATTGCTCTAGGCCCCTCTGCCTCAGCTTTCCCCAGTGTGACTCTGAGGTCACATCATTCTTTGAGGGGTTGAGAGACTCGTTTCCTTGACTTGGCCCACTCACTTCCAGTGCTCAGCTTTACTCTGGACTTTAATCCAAAGAGTAAGGACAAAAGTGAGGAGGAGGGAAAGTTTTCCCCCGTGGGGCCCTGTGGCTCTCCAGCCCCAACCTTTTCTTGCCTGTCTGGGAAGCCCCTTTCAAGCCTAGGGAGAGAAAAGCACCTTCTGGGGTTACTTATTTTTCCACCAACCATGAGCGAGGCAGGATCACCCTATTGTAAGAAGATGAGTGTGAGGCCCCACAGGAGCTGTGGAGCTGGGGCTCTCTCCCAGGGCTGTCATACTCCAGCATTCTTCCTCTTTCCTATCCTGTGCTGCTCTGCTCCACCCCATACCCGTCACTCTGTCCCACCCACATCATTTTGGGCCAGCCTTGTAGTCAGAGCCAGCACTTCCTGGAATGTCTGGGCTTCAGGGGTCTGTCAGCAGCCACCTGGTCTGAACTCTTGGTGTCTTCAGGACTGGCCTGGAGATGAGTGGTCCTGTCCCTATGCTTGCTCAGGAGTACCCCTTCTCCTTTCCTCTCTCCCCCCTTCTTTCTCCCTTTCCTCCTCACCCTCCCTCCTACCTTTGACTGGGTCAATTAGAAAAAGCTCTCTGTTAGCCCAGCAGGAGTGGTGTTTAGACGGGCGGTTTGGGAGGCAGGATTATAGCTCGAAAAAAAAACACCGACGACTGGGCCTTTTTGCCTAGTTTCAGTCTGGAAGTTGAGTTTCTAGGCTGGTCTGAATTTGGCCTCTAGGTGGAGTGTTAAGGAGAGCAGCATGGGGCCCCCCCCACCCCAAACTCCATCCATTACTTCTGGGAAGACAGCCAAGTCCCAGTGGTGTGACTGGCTCCAGATCCCACCCACTTTGGACTTAACTTTCCGCTTGGAGAGCAGTTCTGCAGTCACACTGTGCCCACGCTAAGCCGTAGCACACAGAGGTGGTCACAGGGCCAGGATCCCGTGGGATCAGGTGAGTACTGGGTTGGGGTGGGTTGGGCACACCTCCCCTCACCCTGCTCAGCATTTGGCTCCCACACACCCAAACTGGGGCTTTATGACCCCCAGCCCCTATCACTTTCTGCTTCTGCCTCCAAGGCCCCTGCCCTTTCCCATGGCTGTCCTGTCTCAACACTGTCAGCTCTGGGCTCAGCACCCCTTCCCTCTTCTGCTGAGTCAGCAGTTTTGTTCCTGTATGTACCAAGCCTAGTTGCCCAACTGGCTGTGTTTATCCCAGAGCCAAGATAGAGCGGGATCACAGGCCTGGCCTGGGGGAGGTTTCTGTATGTGAGGAGCCTAGGGAGCTCGGGACGATGGGAAGAAGGGCCAGTGGGGCGATGGCTGGGAGCTGCAGCGGGAAGTAGTTAAGAGAAATACACTGGCTGGCAGAGAGAGGACAGGCAGGCTCCAGCGTAGTAGTTCTTTCATCTGTACCTTGGAATCACCGGGAGAGTGTTAAAAAAACCCGACACTTGGGCTCCACACCCAGAAACCCAAACCCACTGCTGTTGAGTCGATTCCAATGGATAGCAACTGTATAGGACAGAGTAGAACTGCCCCATGGGGTTTCCAAGGCTGTGATCTTTACAGAAGCAGACTGCTGCATCTTTCTCCTGGGGTTCACCTGGTGGATTTGAACTGCTGACCTTTCAGTTAGCTGCTGAGCGTTTAACCACTGTACCACCAGGGCTCCTTTCCCACACTGGGAGAGAGACTTAATTGGGTGTGGCCCAGGCACTGGGATTTTTCAGAGCTCTTCGGGTGGATCAAATGTGCAGCCACGGTTGTAAAACACTACACTAGAGTTAGATCCAGCTCCACGACTTACTGGAGCCATGGTGGCATAGTGGTTAAGAGCTCGGCTGCTAACCAAAAGGTCAGCAGTTCAAATCCACCAGCTGCTCCTTGTAAACCCTGTGGGGCAGTTCTACCCTGTCCTATAGGGTCGCTATGAGTTGGAACCGAATTGATGGCACCTAACAACCACCACCACTTATTACTTTTGTGAGCTTGGACAAGTTGCTCAACCTCTCTACGCCTCATCATCCTTGTCCTGGATTGAATTGTGCCCCCCCCTAAATATGTGTCAACTTGGCGAGGCCATGATTCCCAGTATTGTATGATTGTCCACCATTTTGTCACCTGATGTGATTTTCCTATGTGTTGTAAATCCTACCTCTA